TGGGCATATTTTGAGTGCTTTTTTTACATTTTCACAGGAAGTATATATTAGCGTTGTCAAATGCCTTTTCCTGCATGTAATATATCCTACCCAAGATGAAATAAAAGAGTCCCTCAAGGACTATTTGAACAAAAAGTTCCCTGAATTCATGGTGAACTTAAGTGCAAACGATTTTGCAAACCGGTTCTATGGTATGTGGTGTACTCAGGTAAGCAATAATGTTTGACACCCGTGTATATCGATTTATATCACTATCAATCGTTTTTAATGGGTCTAACCATTTTTTTATGGTGCTCAATTACAATAGCTTTTACAAAAAATGAAGAACCTGCGTGGTTCAGCATTGCAGAACGTACGTTTGGCAATTTGGAGTGTATTTGGTTGCGAAAGGCTTCCTCACCTTAGAAGCAATGCTAGTGCTGAGGATATAGTAAGGTAGAAGCAAAGCCAAGAAGTGTACGATTGTTATTGTGCACTCTATGAGCAAGACGATAAAGACGTTTTTTGGGTTGCAATTATTGCAAGAACTGCATTCACCATGGCTGCTGCCCCTACTCTCACAAACCATCATTGTGCCTTCACACTAGCTGTGTGTAACATTATATTAAATCCCCAATCGAAAAATATCGTCTGTAGCAAAAGTCGAATTAAGCATCGCATGGTGCACTATTTGGTAAGTATTTGAAACATATCGATTGTAACTACAAAATGCAATATTAACCTTTATTATACTAGAATGACTTTGATAACAGCGGTCCTAATCAAGAATTGGCCAATTCAATCATTAATAATAAGCTTGCTTCAAGCTTACACGAAGCTGAACAATCAATGTAGGCCAATCCTAACACTGAACCTGACCTCAATACAACTTCCCTGTCCTGAAGTAATTCTTTAATTCTTTCGCAGAAAGCACAGGACGAATTGTTTGGGGTCTAATAGTGGCAGTTTTTTTTTTTGTAATTTTTATGTATTGCATGCAAAATGTATCAAATATGTATAAAATAAATTGTATTCAATTTAAATATATAAACTTTTTCACTTTAGTTGATAAATATAAAATTGAATCGCTGTAATATTTAATATAATAATTTGTATATATCGAACCTAATATTACAAGTTTAGCTGTATATTATCTATACATATCGATTTGAATCGTCAAAAGGCTATGTATCGATTATAATCGATACATAGCCTTTTGATGATTCAAATCGTTTTAGTTATATATCGATTATGGTCGTCTTAGGTTATATATCGATTTATATCCCTTTCGTTATATATTGATTAGTATCACACTCGTTACAAATCGGCAGGGATGATTTATATTGTTATATATCCTTTGAGTTACCAATCGATATATAACTTTTTATTTTTTTTCCTGATGATTAGTAGTATGGGTCATATTAGTAGTAGCCATTTTTCCTAAGTATCAGATATTTAAAGTATTGTTTTCAAAATCCAACTTGGCTCTTGATTTATTGAACTAATCCATTTCAAGAAGGAGAGTTTCATCCATGGATTCGATCACTTGAAGATTAATAGGGATAATAATATCCTGAATTTTAATCTTTATATCAGGAATAATTCCTAAAGCTTTGGTATGATTTCTATTGGCAGTAAACACAATGGTTTTGGAAGGTCTTTGAATGTGGAGTTCTAATTTCCTTATAAGCTTAGCTGTGATAATGCTTACAGCTGCTCCTGAATCAAGAATAGCAATGACAGAATTTTCTTTGATTCTGATATAACATCTCATTGCTATAGTCTTTTTGGATTGATGTATTTTAGCTTGGTTTGCTTCAGTAATGGGTTCTTTTTTCTTTTGCATAATCTTAGCAAAGTTTCTACATTGAGCAGGAACTTGTAACCATTGAGCTATGGTAATAAAAGACTTTATATTGAGGATGTTATTTGAGACATCATAAGGCTCAACTTGATCAATTATAGAGGAGTAAGTTTTAGTTTTGAGTTTTGGTTTAGTGCCTTTTACAATAGGCATTTCAACACATACTTAACCCTTTATATAACCAACAAATTCAAAATATCATGGCTACTGTAGCTGACATTCTTTTTTTTTTTTTTTTTTTTTTTTTTTTATTTTTATTAAGGCTG